CAGCGACACACAGACATCTCATGTAAAACTTCATGTTTAGCAGCTTCTATATCTCACCTTGTGACCATAATTAAATACCACAGTGTTAACCATGATTAAATATGGCTCATTCATCTCTACGGGGCATTCAATGTCAGTACAATCTTTGTATTCCTTTGGGAGCTTACTGTAGGATACACTATGTTGATCATGAACAGTCAGAGATTATAGTATTTTTTCCTTCAATGATAGATGTATTATATTTGCCCCCAATGGAAAATATGTTTGATTTTAAGGTAAATACACGTCGCCATCTGGTGGCTAAATCCTGTAATGCTTATGTAAAATGTCATATTATACTATACTCTGAATTATATGACATTTATTTAAAGACTTAAAAAATAAATTATAAATCGTATTTGATTTTTAATAAGTTGGTTTAAAACGTTCTAAATACACGAGTATGTTTTTAATATACAGGTTTTAATTAAATTACATGCCATAAGTAGCCCAATAACAGAAATAAAGAGGATATATCTTTACAATAAAATAAAAAATATTTAGTTTAGTTTAGTATATTTTAGTTTCTTCTATATATTTATTTATAAAAAATTATAGACATAGTCAAAATATTTTTAAATGTTTTATGTAGACACCTCTTCATGAGACTTTATATACATATTTTTAAACAGGCATACAATATACTTTTTTTATGAGAAGCAGACATATTTCGATTTTTGTTCATACAAAAATTATCAACATATATTTCTTATGAAAACATAAGTCAATAACAGACACTTAATGATGCAAATAAAGAATAAGAGGCAGTCTTTTAGGAAAATAGCTTTCACTAAAAATGTTAGATTGACAAACTATAATATACAAAGTGAAGATGACTGTAAACAGCCTATTAATATGCCTAGATTTAGATAGTTAGATCGATAGATATAATCGAGAAGGTTAAATAGGGAAAGTGCATTATGTGTAAATAGGTATGGACACAATAGGGATATGCGCAATTTGACGGACACTATGCATAGGTGCAATAGGGAAAGTGCAATATTTGATTTGTGTATGAATGCAGTAGGGAATGTGCAATATTTGATTTATGTATAAATACAATAGGGAAAAGTGCAATATTTGATTTATGTATGTGCAATAGGGATATGTGCTGTACCTGTATGTTTCTTGTTTGTTTCTTTGCCATGTGATATGTGATCTCTGTTCTGTATCTATGACTGATTGACCTGAATGTTTTATGTTTATTATCTCGATGCCCAAGACAAATTTATCCTAAGGGAGACAATAAAGCTCTATCTTATCTTATCTTATCTTGATTTATCTCAAAATTGGGAAATGATTGTGTTCCAGCAGCAGTGTCAAGCATTACACGACTTAAACATGTTTAAAAGATACAATAAGATACAAATAAAATTAAAAAAACATTAGCAGCAAGTATACAAATTCCGAATAGAAAGACATATATCCTTAGAGTATCTAAATAATGCACCGACATTGAGTACAATATACAGTCTCATAAGGCTACAGGAATATATAGAAATATACTATAGACACAACATGGCATTGACACATCTTTAACCCGAGGTGTGGTGAGGTAATTATTTGTATATGTTGGTTGTGAGAAACATTAACATTACCTTGGTTGGACACTATCAGCAGATGTTTTGATGTCCTCTGCTCCATGGTCTGATTGATGCTAATGAGCCTCAGCAGCGCCTCCCTGCGGACACTGAGAGAACTGCAGAGGAACAGACAGGCACAGACGCTTTGTTTACCTCCATTCAAATGCCTGCAGATGATGATGATGGCACATCCTTCTCATTCGTATATTTAACAACATAGCGTGGGAGTGCGTTGGTACAGGACCTTTTTTTCCTCGTTGTGCTGTTGTGAATTTAAGGACAACAGAGACTGGTGGTGTCGTGCTTTCCGTCTCTCCTTTTCTCTTTAAATATGACGCTCGCCACAAACCAGGTCGATGATTTTTTGTCGGTGTTACCATGATAGGAGCCGGCATGGATCTGCTGTGGAGGATCTTAGCAGCTCTCAGCTTCGACTGCTTTAAAGATTCATCGTCGTCCAAGTGAGTGATCTACCTATATTTCCCCGGATATAACCTACAAATCCTGATTTATTCCGAGAATACAGCTGTGTGGTCACCAGTAATGACTTCATTAGGCACCTTCACCAATCTCCTCATTCTCCTGTGATTTCATTTTAGCCATACATGTGCTTGTAAGCTAGGCCTATATTTAAATAAAATAAAATAAACATGTAATACTCAGGATTATCCTAATTGTGTAATCTATAGCTGCAAATGGCAAGGCTCAATGACTGAGGGGGGATTTTATATGTGACATGATTTAATTACAAATCAGGCAGAAACATATATAAAATAAATCACTTCACAGTTGTTATGGCAACAGGTTTTCTGAGGCATTGTTTTCTGCATGCATCAGAAATAATTTAAAGCCATTTATTGTCAAATCCAGGAACATTAACATCATAAGAAACCTGAGCACCTTCTACTATCATTTAAAGGCTAATAAGGCTTCATGCAACACAAGGTTCATTTTCATGAATTATACCCTCTGCACCTTTTAATGAGCTGCATCAGATAAGTAACAGACTGTACCTGATCCAAAGTCTGACACAGAACATAGTCTCTTTGAAAAATTGGCATCCAGTCATTTCTATAATTACTTAAAGTAACTGTCATCTGTCATTCAGCCACTGCCTGTCTGCTGGTAAGTGTGTCAAAAACCTTTGTCATCTGCAAAACCCTTAAACACCATCCCTTGTGTTTATTTATGTGATCCTTTATTATGAAATATTTTTTTAAAGAAACACAAAGTCTCGATCTAAAGACAGATAAAAGCAAGCAGGAACACTCCACAGTTTAAATTATTGCACAATCACGCAGCTCCACCCTAACTGAGGGCAGCTCCTGTTCTACAAGTTATTTATTCACTGGAACAAATCTGTACACCACATGTAATCTGTGTTTCATGTGTGCACAGGCAAAGCCTGATGCCAGTTTGATCCCATGTGTCTCAACGGCTGTATCATGGTTTTAAGATTTGGTTTAAGGCGGCAGACGATTGGCTTCTAGTTTGAACAATGATGTGATATTATTAAGTCATTTTACCTTCAAAAATGTCAACAACTCTGGTGCCAGTGTATCTAATGTGAGGCGTTGCTGCTCAAAACCAGACTTAATGTTAGCTTCAAAAGACCTTTTCACTTTTGTTGGCATTTTATAAATCATAATGTCTGAACACACTGATGATCTATCTATTTAACTAACTAACTAACTAACTATCTATCTATCTATCTATCTATCTAACTATATATCTAAAATGCCGCAATAAGTCAAGAAAAAAACTGTGAGGTTAATCAACGATGAACATATCTTTAGTTAAGGCCCCAGTTTGACTTGCTTTAGATTTCAAGCTAATCTACCCTTAAGACAAGCATGGATAAATGTTATACTATAGAACAGTGTTAAACTGATTCATCTATTGATCTTGCTTTTAAACTAATATATCCAGAAAAACTTGTGTTTGTTTTCTTCCCTTGCTGTTACCTGAGCCAGAACTCTCCATTTCACTACAGCATACACACTAAACTTAATTCCTATCTTTATTCTGGAGGTTTTGCCTGAGGCTTTGTTCATGTACCAATCAAAGCCTGCTTTATATTACATTGTATTTCTAAGAACATGGCTTTCTATGGCTGTTGACATTTTGTTCTGATTCATGGAGTTTCACAAAGGAGATCCAAAAAGGACATTTTGTGAAAAGCAGAACATCCTCACATTTGAGAAGCTGGAACCAGATGATGATATTTCTGCTTTAAAAACAACAGTTTCAACAATGAATCCATTCACCATCCATTCATTTTGTCGACTCATTGTTACCGCTCTACAGTGTGTGACTCTTTTGTCCCCTCTCGTCCTGACTCTCCCCCTCAGGTCTCCCACTAAGCAGGGCTCCAGTCAGGCCGGCAGTCTGGAGAGCAGCTCCCTGACGGGCTCCCTGTCTCTGGGCCCCGACGTGCCCCACTGCCAGTGCTGCATCTCCTACGAGGCCCGCCTGAAGCGCCTCTCCTGCGGACACCTGTACTGCGACCCCTGCTGCGACCAGATCGTCAACCTGGCCTTCGAGGATATCGAGGGCCTGTCCGAGTACCCCTGCCCCATGTGCAAGTCCATCCGCCAGCTGGGGGGCCCCTGCCCATCCTCCTCCGGGTTCTTCTACGGGCCGGACGGCATCCTGCAGCAGGAGCAGGAGCAGTGTGCAGAGAAGGAGCATGGGAGCAGGTCGGGGTGAAGCTCTTTAATGGGAGAGATGTTAACTCTTCTGATGATTAAACATTTGTGTTTCTTCAGCTGGTTGATTTTGAATGCACTGCCATGAGAGCTATGTGTGAATATGGACTGCAACTAATGGTCACTTTACTTTAGTCTGTGAGTATCTGGTGTTACTTGTGAGAAAGACTTACATCCATAGGTTTAAAGTGCCAAAATGCATCTATAAACATGGTTCAAACAAGCATGTCATCGCAGCAAAATTGGAAAAAAAAGTCTAATAGTTTGGTTTTGGGTGAAACATGAGCCAGAAAACAAATGTTCTTTGCCAAAACACTGATTTTCATTCTACTGACCATAACGTTGGAAACTGGAGAGACTAAACCAAACTGGGGCGTCTTAACTGTGCAGTAGATATTTTGTATATTCAACATTTCCGAGTTTTTACTTTGTACATTACCTTTGCGAGTATTGAGCATTTTGCACATGATTCTCAAACTGTTTTATTCTGACTATACATATCATGCAAGGCGGTTGGATTTTAAATTATATGTACAGTGCCATGCTACTTTTTAAGTGTTACAGATCATATGTAAATATTTATTTTGTTAAAAAAATAAAGTTTGTGAGCTGTGTACGAGAAATGATTGGTATTTTGTTTGTGGAACAGATTATGAACACAGTGGAGAGATTGTGAACTGATAACACTTTTTATTTGATCAGGATCAAAACATGCTGATACAAAAAATATGTACATCTGGCAAATGTAAGTGATGTTCGTACCAAAAACATTAAATTATACAACGATACAGACTGACAGGTGTAGCAGAAGATCAAATTAGATTTTCCATGCGACAGAACAAACGTGATTTTGTTTTCTCTCCATGGAAGACGAGCGAGTGCGTTGGCATCACACCTGGAAAGATCTGAAATTGTATCTGATATCAATGTGCCTTGATATTGATGTGATGAATATTTACAACAGTTGAATAATTCATCGTGCTATCAAGTGATGTACCTTTTGACATGAGATCAGCATCAGTCATACACCTGACAATCCTGCACAAAATAAAATGTGCTTTTTTTCAAATGCATAACACTTTCATCCGTCTGTGGGAATGACGTCAGTGAACCTACTGGACTCCCACATCATGCAAACAAAACCCTTTTTAGATTTAAAGGCATAGGCGATACTTCCCTCTGTGCTTTAATACAGTCAGACAAGTCCTTGACCTAAATGCTGGCTGCGTACTAATACACCTCCAGGCAGGATGAAAAAAACTGATATAACATGATAAGTATACACAGGAAGAAATATGCTTCCCTTTGCTTCCAACACTGGTACCTTCTCAAGGTACGTCATTCAAAAAGGCAGAACAATGTTTGAGTTGTTTAATTCCACCACAAAATGATGGAGAAAATCTCACAATAATACTCAATTTGGTCAAAAACCATTCAAAAATCACACTTATCTACATGTAAGATGTCAAAGTGACAGATCATAGTAAAAAATACTTGGAAATAAAGATGAGAGTTTAGATAAGATTATATAACTAGAAGCCCTGAAATCATGTCAGACACATCCAGGCTAACAACACTGAATGAAAAATAGGCCTCTCACTGCACCCAAGCATGAAAGCAAGTGGAGAGATATGAGAGCGGTACCAAAATAGCTCTCATGCCCTAAATTCTACATTAAAGTCACCGGCCACAGAGCCTGCAGTTAAAAAAAATGACAGTTTAAAAAAATGATCATTGGTCAAACAGTATTCTACTTTTCTATTTGAAGCTAAGTTACAAAACCTAGGAGATGAACGTGTCCTTTTGCACATGATCAAGACATCATCTAATAAGGATCTAAAGAGTTTGTTGTATGTCTTCTGGAGACATGTAGTCTCACATCCTGTCAAAGTGCCCTTAAGAATCATCTTATCACACCGCTATCTGTGTCCCTCTTTGGATAAGAAGCTAAAAATGGAAACTACAAGCTCTCTGTCTTTCTCCAAGGGTGACGTCTACAAAATCTGTCATGTCCTGCTTTTCAAGATACGGCAAGATGTGCTTCTAATGTTCTGCTGTTACAGTGTTCAGCACCTTCAGCCCTTTTTATTTCTTCTTCTAATATTTAATAGGTGGAATATTGAAGGCTAAGATTGTCTGTACAAATGTACAAAACAGTTGTCACATTTCATACAGTACAGACGATAAGTAGGAGATTAAAGAAATCTTGCAGGGATTATTTTCATACTTTCTGCTCTGTTTTATCACTATATGGTTAATTGAATATGGTTTGACAGGAAACACATATTGATATTGAGCTTATGATCTGCTTATAGTCTGTTGTGGGGAGGGGCGCTCTGTATCCCGTTGCTTTTAGGCAGCTTGGCGTTTTGGGGTGCTGGGTAGTAGCGCTGATCAGGGCGGGCCTCTGCTACCGAAGAGTGCCCGAACAGGAAGGTGTGTTTGTTGCTGCCCCCATTGTCTCTGTGGCCGGGCCTGGACGGTGCAGCTGAGGCGGGGTGGGGGCCCCGGGAGGTCTGGTGGTTGGTGGAGGTAGGAGGGGGCGCCGCTCTGGGGTTCCCCGCGCTCTGGGGCCTGGACGCCGGGAAGAGGAAGGTGCCGTTGTTGGTGTTTTGGTTCAGGTTGGTGTCCGTGCGTCTGGGGTCGGCCATCTTGGTGGGGGGGTTGAGATCAGAGCCCGTGGACACCTGTTCCAGCTTGTCTTTGAGCTGCTGCACCTCCCGGGCCAGGCGCTCCACGGGGTGGGGGTGGTTAGCTGAGACGGGGTGGGAGAACGCCTGAGGATGGAGAGCTACATGGTTAATATTTCTTACAGGAGATGGTTATTTAACCTTCACCATCAATGAAACAGATAACCACACAATCCAGAATGCATTCTTTTCTTATTGCTTGTTGTGCTATTTATCCATTGAAATCGTTTGGTGTGAGATCTGTAGAAACAGATAGTACTACTTGAAGCTGCTCACAACAAGCTCTGTGGATTAGCTTATGTAACTGGGTCATGATTTCTAGAAAAAAAACATTGGCTGGTATGTTTCACTAATGTTATTGTTTTGCACAATCTGGGTGCCTTCAAGTTCAATTATATTGGAGGGAGGCAAGACATCTGCACCAATATCATTGTTAAATAGCACTCCACATGAGAGGAATGATATGTATTATTGTAGTAAACTGTCTCTTTAAGGCATCAATGAAGACAATGATAATGTTGTTTGAGTAACAATTGGCCATAAAACATTGCAAGATTCTGGTCTTCAGCAGGAACAAATGGGCTTGTAGTTAAAGGTGGGGTAGGTAATTTTGGAGAAACCAACTCGAGTGCGCTAGAATTTGAAAATACACAACCGGAAAAAATCTGCCACTTCCTTACAGAGCCCCTCCTCCAACACACACGAACGCGCACATGACCAATGAGGGCACGAGATAAGTTTGTGCACAGATGGAAGGCTGACAGGCAGGTAGGCCATCCAGTTATTTTAGCCGGGCCTGCTAAAATGATTGGTCGTGCTTTTTACAGTACTACGGCTTCCACAGATGACATTTTTTAATGGATTTTTTGTCAAAGCACTTAAGATATTCATTGCTATCGGGATGTTAAGAGCATTCCATGGAATATAACAACAAGTGTATCTCGAGCTGGTTTCTCAAACTTACCTACCCCACCTTTAAGAGCCATGATAAGATAGGTATGTATAAAAACAAACAGACCAACACATGGTAGGCAAACACAGAATATAATCTTTCTTATCCTTTAACATACAAACAATGCTGTTTTGAAAAAGCAATGTATAAATCTATTCTCAATGATTGCCATCATTGTTAGAGAGTGTATAGTAGCTGTAGATTCTGCAGTAAGCTGTTTTGTTGTGCTGAAATGCATAATACATGAGAGATGTTTACAGTAGCAGTGTCAAGACTTGGATACAACTGTGAAAAAACACCAAACAACAACCCAACTAACAATACTTGGATTTGTTGTTGCTCCACTTCTCCGGGTGCTGGAACTAAATTGTTTGTTTTAGAGCTGAGCTGTGCACAAATGCTCAATGATTTCTGAATGAAAATATATCTTGTGTTGAGAAAAGAAGAGAGAAAGGGCATTTTGTTGGCCTTTAGGGGCACTTTAATGATGTGTGAAATTGTTGGGGTAGCACTTCAATTACACAGATGAACAGAATTGACTCTCTACTACTAATCTTTCGAAGGGGTTTGATAGGCTTCACTTGTTCCTCTGCAGCTCCATTAAAATAGAAAAACAGCACCCACACAGCCCTCCAAATATCCTCGAAATCACCATGGGGACACTGATTGACGCGCTGCTGCACAGACATCACAAAGACTGTACCACGTCCATGATGGGAGTTCAACAGCCCAAACTAATTAACGACTCAAAGAGACAATGTCATATCATGAACAAGCCATCATGATGTGAGAGGATGCAACACAGAAGACATGACGAAGGTGAAATATAGATAAGCGACAGTTAAAAGGGTCAGTTTAGGGAATAGTTGTAACCAGTGTTACATCCATTATACCAGCCAGTGTTTAGTGCTGCCTGTCTGATGGTCCTGTATACTCGAGGATCAATACTGTCATTTATATTTAAGATAAGATAAGGTAAGATGTACTTTATTGATCCCAAAGTTGGAAATGTTTGCGTTTTTTGGATCTTAATGCATGCGGGTGATGTGAAATTAGCCTTTTTTTATTTATTTATCACTTACAAACGTATAAACCCTTCAGATTTATATTTTTTAACTGTTTTAAGAAAATGTGGGGCCTCTTTGAATTCCTTATGCTAATAGACCACAAAGAATAAAGTCAAACACAAAAAATGTTTCAATCTAGAGAAGTATATGGAACGACGCTGTCTTTTTCTGATTCACAATAATTCCTAATTCAATGTTCCTAACCCCCTAAGGGACACTTCCATCGTACAACTGAATTTCCCCACGGGGATTAATAAAGGTCCATCTTATCTTATCTTATCTTACCTGAGCATGGAGCGCCCCCCGGAGGTAGCACTCCCTCCACAGGCCCATGCAGGGCCCCATGAGGAGGGGCAGTAAGGGCTCATAGGGGTCCAGCGGCCCCTGGGGTCCGGAGCTGGAGGTGAGGCCTTGGGGAAACTCGGCCAGCGCCCAGGCCTTCAGCAGCCTCTCCAGGCCGGGCACGTTCTCAGAGGACGCCGCCCTCCGGTGGCTCTTCTTGTAAACGCCTGAACTGCCGCTGCGCCAGGGGAGCAGGTTAGCCGGACACGAGAAGATGCCCCGAGAGAGGAGGAAGACCGAGCCGGGGATGGTGTCAGTCAGCTGGTGGGCAGACGAGGGAGAAGAAGATAGGATCAGTAAAAACTTTAAATATCAGATTCCTGCTAAAATAACCCAACAGTTACATTTGAAACGCTTAATTTACAGTAGTGTAAACGTCGTTATAGGCAGCCTGGTCCAAAGGAGTCCATTTGAATTGGATGCATGTGTTATGGCTGCCACTAGAGGGTGCAGTGGCTTGAAACTTCCCCAGTTGAAAACTTGCATTTAATCAACAACTTTTTGTAATCATTTTGGTTTTATTTAATGATGTTATGTAAATGTCTAAATGAGGGCTTCTTTTAATAAATGTCTTACTTTCAGGACATGAATACAATATTATTATTACATTCTTAAAATGTATACAAATCTACAGACACATACAGACAAAGTGTAATAAAATAAACACCTGAAAGTGCACACTTCTATCAACAAGTCTGAGTCTGAAAAGGAGTAAAGGAAGCAAAAGAGTCAAAGGACCAGTGCATAAAAACATTATTTTGTGCCTGTATTGTCCTGCCTTTGTTACCTTATTCATCAGTGAAAATGGTTTATTGAAAACAATGTGTTGTTTTCTAACAATATCATAGTAACACTATAAGCTGACATTGTTCTTTGTCCAAAATAGTTCAGATCTATAACTATTCTCTTCAAGTCAAAAGCTGGAAAGAAACATGAAATGCTCTCTGGTGTCAGCCAGTGTTAAACTGAAGCTCCCCCCATGGCCACTAGAGGGAGTGTTGCATCATGAGTAAGTCTGCTACCCTGTGTGAGTCTGGGTTGGTGTTGAGGTTTCCATTGAGCAGCGGTTGGAGAGGAGGGATGGGGGGCACGGGCTGGGTGAAGCGGTCTCTTCTGTGCTTGCTGTACTGCAGGGACCAGTCCCACACCGAGGGGAGAGGAGGGTCCGAGGGGTCGGAGGAAGAATCCGGATGAAGCATATCCCTCCAGCCATTCACTGGTGTGTAGGACTGCCCGGGGTTCTGGGGAGAGAAGGATAAACATTTCAAACGTTATATTTTCTTTCTTTGCACAAGTTATCGTATGTATTATAAATGGTACCCACTGTAATTTTTGGGAATTGCCAAGACATACAGTATACGTGTCTGCAGCAAATCATATTGTAATGACTTTAAAATGCTCTATTTTTAAAGATGACATCGTAGAGTTGCCAAAATACTAAAGCCCCTCTCAGGTGTCCAGTACCTGGGAGCGTTTGCATCTCTCCCGCTGGCAGTTGGCCAGGAAGCTGGAGAAGAGTGGCAGGTGGATGCTGTCGTGCAGCGCCAACAGGAAGTCACCTGTCAGCTGGAAGCGAGAGGGATACTGGGACAAGAGCTGCCACACACAGTCCAGGAAGAGCAGGAAGACTGGAGCCTGCAGAGGGAAGGGAAGGAGGTAAGTAGGTCAACTTGTTTTGTTTATCTTAAGCGCCTCAAAACGCGAAATGCTTACATGGGGCTTTACAGGTGAACATAAAAACACAATTCAACATTTGGTTATTATATTCAACGGGACTTGGTGTAGAATATGGAGTTAAAAGATATGAAATAGAGGCAAACAGTTCATGGTTTATATATTTAATTACATTTTAAAAAGCCTCAGGAGTGGATCTAATTCCGCAAGAACTGGAGGAATGTAATCTCTGCATCTAGAGTGATGGATAAATGTGGGTAGGCGTGTGGCACAGTGGATAGAGCCTTGGTGTTGGGATCAGGTGGTCACAGGTTCAAACCCCACTGCAGTCAGCATGTCGTTGTGTCCCTGGGCAAGACACTTCACCCCAAATTGCTACAGTATTGAGTATGTAAGTCGCTTTGGATAAAAGCGTCTAACAAGTGACATGTAATGGGAGGTGGGAGAGATGAAGTAAGATGAAGGGAAAGAAGTTGGATGGATGAATGAGAATATAACTGAGCACGTTGTTTTGAGATATGCTCATTCATTTTTAGGGTCCGAGAACAGAGGTCAGTTTAGATTTGTTTTATAAACCTATAAATATTTTTTAAGATGTTCAAAAATGGTAAACGGTAAAAACTTGAACTAAACCTATAATATAATACAAAAACAGAAACATTTCCCCCTACAGTAAGTATACAAGATATCACAGTGTGACAGAGACTTAGATTAAGATGATAATCACCATACTATACAAACATGTAATTATTATTGAATTATTGTCCAACCCTAAATTCAAGACAGGACTATCTTTCATTTGTCAAATAACAATAAACAAGGCATTTGTATTTTATAACTAGCCTTCCTTTTACTACATCACTGGATAAATATATAGTTGGGAAAACTTGTGACAGTCAGTTTTGGTGTGAAGCTTGACCCCTCACCTCCTCCTTGTCGTTGTCGCGGTGATAGTTGATGCGGCTGTAGAAGCGGTGTCCGGACATCACCCACTCCTTCTGCACGAGGCTCTGGAAACCGGTCTGGGTCCGACAGTGGGGGTCACACATCACCTGCACCAGGCTGCACACAACGCAGCCCATGTCCCGGTCGTCCGCCTCTGAAACGTCAAAACAGAAAGGCACACGCTGACTAAGGTCATAGGACTTATTTTATATTACCTATAAATATAACCAACCGACTAAAGATGAGTCCGTTGTTTATAGTATTGGGAACTCTGGCTCCATTTACCATGTAGCACGTTTTCTTTGTGTCTTCGGCTAATGGAATGCATCATTTGTTGACAGTATGTGGCATATACAGTTAGTGGATATAAAACATGTTATACACAGTTTTCTGATAAAGTACATGAAGCACTATATTGCTTTTACATTATTTCGATGAGTTTCTCTTTTAAATTTCACAATTTCCCTTTTATCATCAACTGCTGTTAAATCGACTGCTTTCAAAGTACTATACATCAATTACGTAAACCCATCTACAGGTCCATACTTTATTTAAGTTAAACAATAAAAATGGATTTAAAAACACAAAAGGATTCTCCATTTTCCTTTGTTCCCCTTTGCTAAACCGATGTACCTGTACTTACCATGTACCGTACCCCTTACAGTTCCCTTCCATAGTAAAAGAGATTCTAAATTAGTTTTCTGTGTAACATGTAAAAGAACATTCTCACATCTGTCGCATGAATGCATTCCTAATGTTTGTAATGATCATGTTAGCATTTAGAGGGATTGTAGATAACCTCCTGCATCCACTGTCCTCAATATAATGGTTTTGTGTTGTGTGAGATATTTCAATGTATAACCTCTAGCAGTGTTACATTTGAAAGCACCAGAATGTACAAACAACGCTTTAACTAACAACCACCATTTCATTCTGTTATTATTCCACTTAAGGCTTGTACTGTTAAAGAATAGAGAGAGGGAGGGGGAAAGAGTTTAGACAAAGAAAATATTGATAGGACGAGAGCCAAATAAAGATCATGATGAATACAGAGACAAAGACCCAGAGCTGGACACGGGAGAAGAGGGAGAGGCATTCAGAGACAAAGTTTGCTACCGCAGTGAGTCATTACTGCAGTGGGATATTTACGGCTGCTCCTGCCGCAACAAGCAGACTTACAGCACGACTGATATATGAACCTCTTGGCTGAAGAGGAGTCGTAAAGGCCTGATGTCAAGTCACTTACAGCTGCAGAGTTTCAAACACCAGCCGCAAGATGTAAACATCCGTAGCTGAACATGGCCATTGTTTGAGTAAGAAGTGTTGGGCCTGTCTCTCTGGGTGTTTACGAATGAACCACAGGCATCCAGATTGGAAAACAACAACAGCCTCTTGTCTGTTAAATGAGTCACAACATGGGTTAGGCGTGCCTCTCCAGTAGCTTTCCCTGTCACTTGATCCATCTCACTGCCAGGTGGTGATCAGTTGACACCTCTTCTTCACAACAAACAACAGTCACATTGAGGTGACCCTGTTGTTCTAAGAAGTAAACTCCAACACAGTAACATTCAGATGGGGGATTGAGAGTATCCCAAAAAGCTTGAAAACACCAGAAAAATAAAGGGAAATCTAACCCCTTTGCAAAAGTTTGGTGCCAGAAGCAGTGCTATGTGAACAGATGAGCCAGGCTATAAATACAGGTGGGTGGTACCACAGTAGCTATGTCTCCTTCCCCGCCAGAGAAATTAATGTCCAAAGAGCCAGTGTTTGTAGTCAGGGGGCAGATTATCAAATCCAACTGCCTTCTCCTAATCCTTAAATAGCAAAGCCGGACCACTACACCTAGTCTTATGGGCGATTAGCTTACAAACACCTGCTGTGCTAGTTCAAACTGAAACTTAATTTTAGCAGTAGAGCCAGTGAGCACCACAAACAATCAAACAAAGCATAATATCCACACCATTGACTGCAATACAACTGTCCCGGACACAGTCTTACAGATACAAATACTGTGGATGAAACCCTTTAAACAGATACTATGGTACACTGAAGATTGTCAGTAATGTATCTGATTATAATACGTGTAGAACGACATGCACGATTACCATTTCCTTTGTGTTAAAAGTTGACAAATTTGACCTTATGTACGAAAGTCTTGAGATAAACCTGCCTGTTACCTTGTTTTTTTTTAAAAGCCTGTTGTTGTATGGAGGCCTATTGACAGTGTGCATGCAGTGGAGTGTGCTTGTCGTCAGTATACAGCTACTTCAGGGCAAGCCCTAATGTGGGATTAATGAGAGCGAGTGAATAATGAATGGATTGAATAATATGAGACGTGGTCTAAGTCACGTCACTCACCTTGCAGAGCCACAGTCAGGTGACCGCCGCGAAGCAGACAGGCTACCTCTGAGGCTTTCCTCAGGCAGGATCTGGAGACAGAGAGGCGGGGGATGATATCAAATCACCTTCATCTCATTTCAGTTACAGACACAGTAAACACGTCACAAATATGGCAAACAAATATGTATTTCTTCCCTTTACTGTTATCATTTTGTATGCATGTTTCCTTGACATTAATCTTATTACTGATTCCTTTTGTGAAGTTATACAAATACATAAATACACATTGATATGCACATTCATTGATGTTACCATTGACAATTATTGTTAATAGGAGGAACTTTTAGGGGTTTCCGCATCAAGGATAATGCATTTAAAACGTATCCAGTTTTCTCTTAATAACAGGATTTTGAGGATTTTAAATGTTGTCAGTTAACAATTTCAAAGCACATGTTTGATTATGGGTTGAAAGAACCTGAGTTGATGAGTTTTTGTTATGGGTAACATGGATCGGGCCAGACGGGCCAATCAGAGCGGTTACCTGGTGTAGTCGAGCCAGTGGGTGCTTTCCAAGGTAGATAACCACTTGTCATCAGGCACTGACACAGATGTGGAGATATCTAGAAGCCAAAACAAGAAAAATAACAAAAAAAAGAGATCATACTCAAGACATTTTGTAAAGTGTTTAGTAAGGCTCATATCTTCACATCAACTGACTGGATGGTTAGAACCAGTACAACAAAAGAATAAATGTAGAACACAGCAATATGACATCAAGTGTTCAACATAAGTAGAAAGACTGCTTTGTTATAAACTTTTAAAATGTAAAAATTATCGTTGTGCTCCTTTACTTCCACCTTGCTTATCTTGCTGTTGAAAATGTTTTTATTTGTCTTGTGTATATTTGTACATAGATATTTTGTTCTGTATCTGTAGTATTTGCTGAGGTGTTCACTTTTCTATCGGTGTGAAATGTTTTGGCCCTCATAATAAATCATCCACATCTTGAATGGGCCCCAAAGTGTAAAATCCACATAATCTCAGGTAGATTAGTTTTAATACAATCCCTTAAGTCTATTTCCTTTTTCTATCCTGCTGTTGTGAAGACTCAAAGCCCACCGCCAGTAAACGGACCAAATACAGTGGATGTTTTTACGGGACAATCCTCTGAGTTGTGAACTCACCCACAAAAGACAAAACACTGAGCTGACAAGTGTTTGAACCGTGATAAATCAGCGACCTTTACACATTGTTTGTGTGCAAAAAAAACAGCGTGTGAGAGACTGGTCAGCACTTCAGTCCCAGGGCCAGTAGTTGGAGACGACCCTGAGTTTTGTTACCTCTCTGTTCACTCAACCATGGAATGTGCTGTGCGTGCACACATGACAAAAACAAAAATAAAGGCCATCGCACAAAGCCTGTTTTGAGCTGCCACTGTTCGAGTTTCAGACCAAAACAACTCTGCAAAACAGAGATTTAATTATATATACATCGACTGTGACAAAGAAAGCAGGAATTTTGTGGAAACGTTAAGAAAGCCTCAGCTGTGAATGGAATTAAAATCTTAAAATGAATAGTTGACTCAAGGGAATCAATGATAAAGTAACGCTTGCTATGACGCCCATGGCCCTCATGCATTACAAAATATATAATCATTTGCTTATAAAACTTTAAAATCATAGTTATGAGCACTCATACATACTTATAACATTATAAAGCATTTAATAATGAGTTCAAGTATCATCATTTTCTTTTTTAAATGGGACCTTTTGGATTGCCTTCCTGACGTGACGGAGGTTTATGTAACCATGTGGACGCTTCATCTGTCACATTTCCATATTTGCTGGAGGTCCTTTTGTGCTGAGCGTGAATACATGTTTGCTCAGGTGTGTGTGTGCGTGTGCGTGTGTGTGTGTGTGTGTGTGTGTGTGTGTGTGTGTGTGTGTGTGTGTGTGTGTGTGTACATGTCTTATCCCCACCTCCGAGACAGAGGGCGCGCAGCCGGCTGTGTGCCAGCTGGATATCTGCAGGAGAGGGCAGCTCCTCGTCCAGCTCCACCACCACGCACAGAGACGACTGGCACCCAAACAGGATCATCTCCAGGTTCCTACAGAACATCCTGCAGTTATCACACTGCCACATCTGCAACACGCTACTCTGTTAACAAGCAAGTTAGCTTCTCTGTGGCTTTTTAATAAATACCTTTGAAAGAAGAAATAAAGTGAAATGCCTTTAAAAGAACACTGTGGAAGTAATTGGTTTAAATGTTGCTCCTATTAAAAAAACTCATTAGTGCAAATTGAGAGTGCTTTTCAGATTTCACCTTGGATGATTTGGGGCCTTAATACATGTCTGATAATCTGCTCTGTTACAAGTCATCTAGATATATGAGAACAAAACAAACATGTAAAAGCAGCTTTCAGTTTCTATGCAGCGCAGATCTGGAATACATTTCCAGAACATTTGAGGTCTGCCACAGCCCTTTGTTTTTGAATGGAGGCTAAAAAATGTTGTTTGCCACTGACTTTCCAAAGAGTGTTGCATTTGTATATTTCCCCACCTCTTAAATCCTCTGTTTGTGAGTTTGCTTTTCTCTTTTGTTATATTGAATATATTCTATTTTAATTGTTTTATATGTCTATACTCGCGTTAAGTCCTTGAACTGGCCTTGAGGTCTGAAATGAGCTGTACAAATAAACTTGCCTTGCTGTATAATGTTGCTTTTAAAACTGCAGTCTGAAGCTTCTTCAACAGTTTGCTGTACTGTACAGGCTGTGGTCAGCTGATGTTTGAGTGAAGACTATCTCTGCCATTTGATTTCCTGTGTTCAGATCACCGTCAAACATAAAGCTGCAACTTCTCTACAGGAAGATTAAATAAGCTAAATGCACCAAAAGTGGTTCAGTTGCAGAGAGGAGTGTATGCCTTTCTCTCACAAAGTATCAGAGAATAGACACCCTTTCATTTGAGATGAGTTGACGGAGCTGAATTGAACCTGTAAAATACATCTTGAAGTCACAGTGGTCGATTAAAAAAAAGCTAAATGTGACCATCCTCCACTGTATATCTAGCAATGCAGACTGAAATAATAAACTGCACACAGTCAACTCTGCTGCACACAGTCAACTCTGCTGCCCTACTAACACAAAACGTTTCCTACAGCAGCTTCAACCCTGTTATTAGTTTAGTGTAACCCATTCTTTGCCTTGTGATGGTTACAGTCTGCAGTCAAGACTACGGATAAAAGCCATTCAAATATGGATTTCCTACACTGACAGTCGCTTAACCACTCAAATGCTTTTTGAAAACACACACCTGATGTCGTCTTTCTCGTGGTAGATGTTGTTCTGGAAGCTTGCCATTCGCAGTAGATCGCTGCCTCGAGGGTGCCGCCAACACCAGCGCTGCAACAAACAAAATGTGTTCACACTGTTTACTACAGTTAAAATCGCTAAAGGCACTACAGTAACTGCATCGTGTAATTTGCTTCACAGGAATGTTAATAACAAGGGGAATATACCCTAAATATGACTGCTGTAAATATTATAATTACTAGTTTACGGTTCCAACGTTAATCTTAAAAAGCACCTCCTTCTTGAAACATTAAAATACCATGTATTTGCATTTAAGGCTCCAGTTGAGAGACATGGGTCTTTAGGGACATTCAGCATGTTTGTTTGAGCTTTTAATTACACATGTGATTTATTTTATGGCAGCACGGTTTGTTATACTCGGGAAAATGGGCTTTGATCTCCAGCATGTTGAACTGAGTCCTCCCTGAAGCAACTGGAATATGTCTGTCAGCGCTACATTTATAGAAAATGTTATGTTTATGTGATTGTACATACGGTATAAAGGCCAGTTCCATCAGAACAATATTTAAAATCGCTATGAAATGAAATAATGATAGGTTTTTATGTATTATAAATGCCATGACATAAATTATAAATCACAGGATTAACGCTTTAAAGTCATGAATTAATGAACCAATCTTAAATGAGTGGTGGTAGCTTTAAACTGAATAAGTATTATTACTAAGTGCACTCACAGGGATGCGTCCTTCGTTGAAGTGGGCGAAGCTTTTCTTCAGCTCAGTGTCTAACACCTTCTGTGGAACCACGATGGACCTCGGCAGGCTGTAAGGAAACAGAGAACACACAGGTTTATTGACAGAGTATAAACTGTGGAGCGATAGCAGCCATGGGAGACAGGAGAGATGCTCTGTATTCAAAACGCCCACAACTTTGACTTTGTAGAACGCATCAATGCAGCACACTAAGTGCTATTATTTGTGTCTCTTATAAGAGTTTGGCCTTGGCTTTTCTTGACATTCAGTTTCCTACACAAAACATTGCTTTCCAAACATTCTCCTTTCAAGGTTACTTGCGGGCAGATGTATTCACAAATCCAACAAAAAGGTAAAAAAACAGGGCTGCTGTTAGATACAATCCCACACTAGGGCCGTTTCTCAATCGCGAGGATATTGGCTTCCAAGCCAATATTTCAAGGATGCTACGTCATCGAGTGCCGCCGAAGGACTGTTCCAATCTCCAGCATACTTGGAATTCCCCCGAGGCCGCGCCCTTGGTTTGGGGGAAATTTTGAGGCTGCACATGGGTAGACTTCGCGTCCTTAAAATCCCCACAATGCTTTGCGCATGGATCAATTTCCCCAAATCTGTGGCGGAAGATGTAAGGCCTCTCATATGACGCACACCTGCACACTTGCTAGCCTGTTCCACTCTTTGTTTTCCGAATGCTAGGAAGTATTCTTGCCTTGCTTCTGAAGCAAGATGCTCGGCTCGGCTGTGCTACCAAGCCAGCATCCTCGCGATTGAGAAACGGCCTAGGAGGTACTAATACGGGTATATTAAAATATAATAGTTGATAGTGAAATACTGAAATATAGATAAATTGTATGCAGTTTAATACACTTAACAACCCACACATAAATTGATACTTGAGAAAACGTTCAAAGCATAATATACTGTATCTAAACATGGATTTGGAAATCCAACAGACCCAATGTAACTTTCCATCTGAGGAGGGTTTTTACCTGGTGGACATCTCGAAGCGGTCGTTGACGGAGCTGACCCTCCAGCCCGAGGCCCCGCTCCGCTCCAGCTCCTGCTCCCAGTCTGAAGCCGACTCAAACCAGTTCATGTCGGTGTTACGGCGACGGTTGCTTAGGAACTGCTTCATTTCTGTAGAAAGACAGTGTTTCAAACATTATTAATACACAATATCTTACAATGTCAGTGTGCACACATTGTGTTGTGTTGATTAGGTCAGAAAGACCACGTATAGTATATGAAGATATTGCTACTTGAAAAGACATTTTTGAGAACAGGCTTTGAATGCGAGAGGCCTCTCTACATATTGAGTCTGAGACATTGCTCCCTTTCCTCTTAACTGTATTAAAAGGAGACATCATAATAGTAAAATAATGTAAAATAATTTCCGAATCAATTCAAACTACTAACATTTGAGAAACGTATGTCAGTGGCACTGAAGCGATCTTTTGTAAAGTCTTAAAGTGCTGTCCTCGACACAGTGACCACACACCGGACACACTTGACCCCGGGGCAGAGTTGAGCTGTGGGTCATCTAGAGACTTGTACAGTGAGGGGGGGGGGGGCTTGCATTATTTATCCAAGAGCTGACAGTCCTCCACAGCCTGGTCAGCCTGCCGTAGCTTAACATACTGTAGCATAATGTATTGTACAGACAGGCTCATATTACTCTATACGGTCGAGGTAAACAGCCCAGTGATATGTATAAGAGTTTATATTTTGTATGTGAATTGCTAAGTGTGTCCTTTTTTAGCTGACACTGAATTGAATTCCTTCTCTCCGATGGCATACAATTATATTTAATCATGGTGGTTTAATCTTCACAAATGGAGGCTTTCAATCACTGTGAAAATCTGACCTTGAAAGTTTTATAGCGGCTCGCCTTAAAAACCACTCAGAGATTTCCTCACAGCTGGGCATGGTTTCAGAGACAGTATTTTCATTGCGTCTCATAAAGGAGAATGTTTCACATTTTGCCAAGTAGAGAGGATGTCAGCTTTGAATGTCAGTCTGCTCTGATCAGAGATCCTTCATGCTTCCTGTTTAATATTCTCTCCAGTCTTAAGAGTTGGAACATCAGAGTCAGAGAGTAGACTCAGACAGAAACTAAAATAGATGAGTTTAAGTCATGTGTGAAAGACAAACTGTGATTTTTGGGTACATTCTGTCCCTGGAGCTACAGCTGGTGGAAGTCAAAGTGAGAAAAGGCTTGAGGAAGAGAGAACATCTTTAAGGCTTTAAAAAGCAAGAACATCACATGACTAACAGGTTCATGCTGCGTTCCTGATTCATGTTGGCATTCGGTTCTCACATTCACTTAGCAGTTATTTCTTTGATTATTCCTCACAGTGAAACATGAACAGAAAAAAAGATTAAACGCACATTTACTGATGTGATCATTTTAATGCCATTAAAATCTAAAGAGGTGTACAGGTAAGGCTTTAGAAAAGATGAAATAATACTTTATTATGGGCAAAGATCTCACTAAAGGGGGGAAAAGAGCAAGCAGTTCATTTCCTGAATATGATATCAATAATATCACCAAGATATATCACATTATCGGCTGTATTAGGGACAAGCATTAATATGTGTAATCATTATTAATTTAAAAGGCCATCAATATACCTACTTAACCAATTTTACAGAGCGTGTTTCGCATACATTGATTTATTTATTTTTTTAATTTGTTTTGGTGGTTTCCTAATGGATAGTGAGGTGGGCTGATGATCGAACGGTTGCGAGTTCAAATCCCGCCTGCAACACCACTACTAGTGTGCCCTTGAGTAAGGCACTTAGCCCTCAGTTACTCCAGGGAGAATGTCCCTGTAATTGGTCATTGTAAGTCGCTTTGGAATAAGGCGTCTGCTAAATGCCTAAATTGTAAATTATATTTTTGGGAGAATAAACCCCACAGATCCTCAACTCCGGTGTGTCTCACTCATTAACAACGCAACACAGAGCAACAAGAACGTTGTCTACAGGAGCCATGAACTCGCATGTATTTTCTTATTTGAGGGGGGGGTTAAGGGGCCTTTGGCGGTGCCCCCACAAATAGAATCAAATTCTGTGGGAAACACTGGAGCCATAGATTCTTTAAAAATATATATATATATATATATATATATAAAAGGTATGACATTATATATTTGAGTATTGCCCTATGTGTTTGGGAACTGAACACAGCAGTAGGATGACGGACGGACTGATAGACAAATGAGGTCTGGTATCAGTGCCAGTGAGGGAATAGATGGTTGTATACATGAGCGCTCAAACAATAATCTACTCACCTACACTCCCGAGGGCAGCGTTCTGGAAAGATAACACTGACCCTGGTTTAGGAGGCTGATAGGTCTTGGCGATGGTGTAGGTTATCTGAGGAGGGAAACCACAGGGAGCCATCAGCCTGACAAAGGTCAACAGCTTTCAACGCACTACAGAGTCAGATCATTGGCGTATGGCACAGATCAACTTCTCTACGCAGAAGTCTTTAGTCTCTGAAATGACTGATGAACAGTAACCAGAGCCTTGGACACACTTGGACACACACACACACACACACACACACACACACACACACACACACACACACACACACACACACACACACACACACACACACACACACACACACACACACACCACACACACACACACACACACACACACACACACACACACACACACACACACACACACACACACACACACACACACACACACACACACACACACACACACACACACACACACACACACACACACACACACACACACACACACACACACACACACACACACACACACACACTTCTTATAACGAGTAATTTTAAAGGCTGTAAAATACCTGGTTTTCTGCTAATTATTGTTTTGAATGCACACACTTAGTTTTGAAGCATCTGTAAGATGTAGTCATGTTTAGAGATGAGATCAGTACATTCCTAAAATCAGGAGATGCGCACACACCTCTAAGACTTGTGCATCAGGAGTGAGGCGGTCGAACAGGAAGCAGACGACCCTCAGGTCCCTGCAGTAAAGCACCAGCTCCTCGGGAGTGAACTTCAGAGAAGAGTTCGGGGTCACCAGCTTGGTCCGGTTCGGGCCCACTACAACACAGGAGGTGGGGGGGGGTTAATTAAACATTAAACAGACAAGTGGGAGCAGAGCCAAAGAACCCTTGAGTATAGGTTACATAAATACTTACAGTATGCAGGTTAGACCTATAGGGCTCCACTCAAAATAACTTTACAAGTGAGCCCAAACCTGCACATTCAAAATCATTTTTAAACATCTTATTTTGCATAACTCTAATGTAATAATGATCTCAGAGAAATGCTTTGAAAACTTGAAAACACTTTGGTTGGTCTATTGTGCCACTTTATAGCCCTTAAGATTTTAAGTATGTTTTTCTGTATAGTAGTTTTTATTGGTATTGGTCGTTTGCCAACACATTTGCTGTGGTAATAAACCTTACCTTCTACAAAGGTAACTACAGATGCTGCATATTCATCAAACATTACATTACATGTTACTTGTTAGATGCTTTTATCCAAAGCGACTTACATACTCAATACTGTGGACAATCCCCACAGGAGCAATTTGGGGTGAAGTGTTTTGCCCAGGGACACAACGACATGCTGACTGCAGTGGGGTTTGAACCTGTGCTCCACTGATCCGAACACCAACGCACTACCCCACTGCGCCACACGCCTCCCTAAGTGAACTGAACACTTTAGATCAAACCCTTTTTGGATACAAGCCAATTAAATGATAATGTCAGCAAATATCAGAATATATCAAACAAACTAGGCGACATGTCCGTTTTCTCTTCATCATATAGTGGTATGCCTTTACAGTAAGCTTTAACATTAAAAAGGGATCATAAAAGGGCCGACTCCCTCTACAAAAACAATAATTCCCTTGTATAACTCATAAGTTGCTGCTTTGATTGGTTAGTTTGTGTTATTGTGTAACTTTGTTTGGTTTGTTTCGGATTCAGTTAAACTCAGACAATAACACAGCATTGGAGGACGGGAAGCTCTGCAACCCTGGTTTTCCGCAAAGTCAAATTACTGTTATTGTCAAAAAAGAGAACAAATGATTGCTTTAGTTCCTTGTCTGGAAACACTGTCTGACAGCAGGGTAAAGCAGTTAAAATATTCCAAATGTAGCGTACACTCAAACTGGTATTGATTTGTTCCGTATCCACAGCAGTACATTGCTTGGTTCTCTGTCTCTCTTTATAAGCCCTCACTAAAACAATCCCTTTGACTGCATGCATGTTATAAAGGCATGATAGACAGTATACTAGTCTGTGATTGGACACAAACAGGGACTCTCCCAAATGTCATAAAACAAATCTCTACTCATTGCACCAATTAAAATAGTAGTCATAATAAATGTGGGCATGAGGTATGACTTACCAACCACAACCTTCTCTATGGACGCCAGCGCCACATCATGATCTCCTAAAAGCACTGGGTCTGCATTGTCCTGCATCAGGAATTAAGAGTTAGTTATTAAAATACAAATGTTTTTCCAATGTCGTCCTTTGAACAACAATAACAATTATTTAAGTACAGCTGTTCAGAGGGACTCACGTCAGGTTTGGGGCTGTCCTGGGGCACGAAGGCCACTCTGAAGTGGGTACAGAAAAGGGTCCCTGACACCCATCCTCTTCCTTCCCTGGCTGAGAGCTTCTTCCTCACCATAACAGCTCGCTGAAGAACACACTCGCCTGGAGGGGACAAACAAAGAGAGATGTGGTGCAGAGGTCACAGGATGGAAGATATGAGTAGTGTAGTTTTAGAAGTCTGATGAAATTGTGTGTTTATAGGCGGGGGCTTCTAAGGAGGATGCATAACAGGAAGTTTACAGACAGAGAAACAGCAGCATGGAGTCCACTGAGCGAGCCACGAGGACAGGGTGTAACAAACACCTTCAGCAAGTCCTCAGGACACTGAGGATGGGCAGGAAGGAGCAGGAAGAACAACAAAAACAGCATCTCATGGATACAAGTAACTCTGTTCTGAATTACATTACACCAACTTGGTTTGCTGCAAAGAAAAATGGCAAATTTGCATCCTTGTGAATTACCAAATTTCTGTCTGATTCACAATGTATACACAAAGATATTGAAGTGACTGTTATTGTTGTATATATAGGACATAATTGCATACATATTTTGTATATATATTTGTATTTTTGTATTCAGGATTGAGGGAATCGGTATTTCGATCTTTATCTGTACACACAAACTGAAAGATTGACAATAAAGTTTAGTTTGACTGACTGACTGATGTTGAACAGCTTGATTTCATAACCCTCATAACTCTTGACTGATTCAAAATCTACATAAGAAATGAATTCAGGGAAATGTATGAGAAATGTAACAATGTAATGTATTATATTGACTTAAAGGTGGGGTAGGTAAGATAGGTAAGAAACCGGCTCGAGATCGCTAGAATTTGAAAATACACAACCGGAGAAAATCTGCCACTTCCTTACAGAGCCCCTCCTCCAACACACACGAACGCGCACATGACCAATGAGGGCACGAGATAAGTTTGTGCACAGATGGAAGGCTGACAGGCAGGTAGGCCATCCAGTTATTTTAGCCAGGCCGGCTAAAATGATTGGTCGTGCTTTTTACAGTACTACGGCTTCCACAGATGACATTTTAATGGATTTTTTGTCAAAGCACTTAAGATATTCATTGCTATCGGGATGTTAAGAGCATTCCATGGAATATAACAAAAAGTGTATCTCGAGCCGGTTTCTCAAACGTACCTATCCTACCTTTAATTTAACTGGAATGATATTTGTTTTGTCACTTATACTGTGGCAAACATGTACAAATATGTACTTTATCTGTGCTTTAGTAATAATCTGTTGATTCTGTTAACTGATGGATCCTCATCATTCCTAATTAGAGAGGGAAAGGTTGAAGAAGCAACGGAAAGTGGAACACAAAAGCTTCCAAAAACAAACTTTTCACAGAGAAAATGTCTTGCACACAAACACAGATGTGCACAAACATTCTCAAGTAGAAAAAAAGGAAAACTGTTTCACCAAAACACACAAACAGCAGTGAGACAGCACATTTTTAACAGTCTCCTTCAGGAACACACAGCCTTTGCCAGATAGACTGTGGGTTTCCATGGCAACAGGATTCAGGATAAAGTAGACGTGGAGAAAAGGCCTTTTTGTCCACGACAAGAGTATTTGGCAAGGCAAATGTTTTCCTATTCCCTGAAAACATTCAAATTCACTCCACTGTGAAAATGATGTGCCGGTTCCTCACAACTGAATAAAAAAACATTTTGAGGAAACACAAAATTCCTTGACTCATGTGGAAATAACTAGCTCTGCCCAAAACTAAAAATGCCTTTTCTAATTCATGCTCTTAGCTTGAAGAACGTGTTGGTGACCACCACAGCACGAACAGAAAACACTCATTTATTCTGTGACGGAAAGAGGAAGAGGAGGCCTGACTTCCAGCACCATCATTGGCTAATTGCACAGTTTCATTCTTTGTGCGTGCCCATATGATTATTCTCCAAAACCACTCCTAAAAACCCCTAGCCCCCGGCTAAACCCCACCACACATGATCTTGAGACAGAGATTTAAGATGCTTAGCAGGGCGGTGAACACAAGTGAACCCTTGTTGAGAGCTTGTCTTGCAAAAGGACAATCTGTGGCTTTCCGTGCCTCCTTTTAATGTCTCCCCAGGGTGCAACAGAGCCGAAAACATTCCTGCAGCCAGAATGGAGAGCTCGGGGGGGGGGGCAGAGGAAGAGGAAGACAGGGAGCACAGGGCCTGTTTTCACTCTTTGGTTAGATTTAAGAAGTTAGTGTTAGCAGGTGGTTCAGCCCAGAATGAAGGTGTTTTACGAGGGTGTTGTGCTTTAATTCAATCAAATAATTTACGTGCTTCATGCAGAGCTATACAGAGAATAACAATTCATGCTGCACTAGAGCAGTTTAAGTGCACTTTTTTAACATTGACTTCAGCCAAATGATGAAATACTATACATTAAAATAATACATTTTAATTTACATTTTCTTTAATTTCCTGGTCTGGTCTGGTCTGTGACCCCGCGTGTGCCACTGTTGTTTGTGATTTTTATGGATAGCATATTTGTTTAGTGCATGATTTCTGCTGTGGGCCAACAGTTAGCAGGACTACATTAAAAACAGCAAAAACAATATAGCAGAAACAATGGTTAAGACACAAAAGAACCTTGAACATGTCAGAGAGGCAGAGTTCAGATTCCCTGTTTGCTGGAGATGTATTAATGGCCAGTGGCAGCTTTTCAGATTGAAGTTACATCAAACTCTGACGGCATTACGGAGTTGACAGCTCACCAAAATGGGTTGGAGTTTGACCAACTGGGGAGCAGAGGGTGAATAAATCAAGAGACGCCGCAGGGCAAAAGCTGCACACACATAGCTTTGTAAACTGAAACCCAGCAGTCACTGGCTTTAATTAAACGAATTGCAATAATAACATTTTGCATGCCACCACAATTTGAACCTTGCTTTTGAGAGAGCAGAGGATATGAGTTCAATTAAAAATACTGAGAAAGTGTTTGCCTAGAAGTGTTCTAGTAGAAGAACATGTGCTCTTATGAAGACCTAGTTTCGTTGTTGTTTTAAATATAGGCTGTACACACTTTGAATGCATTCATGTTTATGTTTAGCCTTTAATGTTTCAGCTGCTTCTGTTGACGTTGTGGTCACTGACTTGAATGTAAGAAGAGAGCGACCTGAAGAATCAGCCTGAGAAAATGCAGCTGAGAGAGATCTGAACCACATGCTCTCCGTCTGTGTTTTATTTGTTTGATCCACATTTGTTCCTCATTTTCAGATAGGATGCATGCAGAGCTAAACGTTTTTTCCCCCTCCTCGATCCACTGGAAAGCCGAGTACAGAGGAATAGGTTGCTTTGGTTCGAATAGATACAGCAGTTTCGGAAAACTAGCAGCTTATGAGGAAATTCTCTGTATAGGTGACAAAGAGAGAAGTCCTGCCTGGCGTCTATAATATCATTTGACACGGCACAAAAGACTGCTCAGTTTACATATTTTAGTACACAGAACCACTAACCCTCATGTCATGCAACTTCCACAAACAGACAGCAGTTTCAAAATGCAGATCACGTTTGGTAAGCTTGTCATGTAAAGCTATAATAAAAGCAAAACATGTCCAACTTTACCCTCCACTAAGCCAGTCTCTGTGGAGTTGCCCCGTCATATGCATGTACTTGCTACTAGATTATCTCCAGACAAATTGATTATCATAAATAAAAATCCCCCCACAAATATACAAATATCTGTTTTGTAATGCCATGGACACTGAACTGGAAAACATCCATTAAAAATCTAAATACAGATAATGTAATACCTTTTTGAATATCAAGATCGCAACCCAAGTGTACAAATATTGATTCTCTGGTCTCTTGTCCATCAATCAACGAGGTTTAAAGCTGATGGACAGCCTTTAATCCCACAGTAACATAAGACTATGGAGAAAGGGGGGATTGTGAAGTGGCTCTGAAGGGGGTCCTGGACTCTTGGCATTGTGTGTGAATGGACAGTAAACCCCCATCCCCCACTCGCAGCATTGAAAAGGTACTTGATCTACCTATGGCTGTCGGAGCTGTCCTGATCCGCTCGCCCCCCCGCAGGCCGGCTCGGTTTCTGCGGTCCTGTGTCCCGGTGTCACATGAGAACACCGTGGACACCGAGCACTGCCCGGTAACTACTGGGACAGCGGGACAACTTCTGCAATCATATTTATTGTGATGGAAACTTCTGAAGCAACGGAGACGGGACTCAGAGAGACACGGGGAGAGCAGGGACTTTGATGGCAAACACTGAGGGTTCATTTGGAGCTTCGGCCGGAGAATTCACAAGACATGTCATGTGCCGCGAGGCGACACAGCGGATGCCGAACCAACTCTGAAGATTTCTACCTCAGACCCATGTATTTAGCTAGTTCTGACAGAGGAATCATCATGCTGCATAACAAGATAAAACCATAACACCTCTATCAGCTGACGCCAACAGGCAGGAATAGGTTGCAGGCCTGAAGTCAGCGAGGGCAGTACAAACTGATAAACTGGGTCAAAGTTATGGGCCTAGGAAAATATTTCCCCAACATTTATGATTAAGTAATTCCAATGCTTTTTTTTGGTAATGCCAGTGGATCAAGCTAGAGACAGGCCCTTTGTTTTTGCCCTGTTAAGTTAATCTACTACAACAGCACCAGAGTGATATGAGAAGTAAAAAGGACGTTTTTACACATGATGGACGAATGACCCATCCTTTTGCAGAGTATGTGCATGAGAGAAGGCGAGAGAGTCCACAGGTGCAATGTGAGCCCTTTCCCCTCGGTGGGGTAACGCTGACTCGCCACTCCTTTGTGTCTCAAAGTGAACTTGTTCTCACAAATTGTCTCAACACTTTCTCTGCAGAGCGTGCACAAAGCCAAAGGATAGACTTCCCCGCCTGAAACCTGAATCACTTTAGAGAAAATGAAATGAATTGCTACATTTACAGCAGAGTAATGGCAAGTCATTGTAGCTCACGGGGGAGCTAATATAGGTCTCAATGGAAAAAGAGAAAACAGTCCTGACGACACACGGTTCTACTCTCTGTTGATAAAAGACAGCTGGGTTTTTAATCTGCCTGGAATGAAGGAAGGGAACAGCTAGATGGTGTTGAAGATGGAGATGAAGTTAAAAGCCAGCAGGGCGAAAACAAATGTGAAGTAAAGACAGTCGACATTTCACAGTGAAATGTTAACAGCTAAGAATAGGATCTCTTTGTGGGTGTGTGAGTGTTGTAAAGGACCAGAAGAGACTGGAAAGCATTTGATGAAAACACTCTGCTGGAAAACAAATTAAGCTGACTATGTGAACGAAAGGAAGGAAGTGTGTGTGTGTGTTAGTACGTCGCTTTGGAGTAAAGCGTCAGCTAAATGCAATGTACTGTACTGTAAAGAAGGTGTGTGAGTGAATGACTGTGTTTTGGACTGTATTGGATGTTTATAACTGTTCATGTTTGTGTAAAAGGTTAGGAGATACAATGCAATAACAGTGAAGAACTGGGGCGCAACATTTGTTTTTGTGATTTTCAGTACGTGACAAAAAGAGATAGCAGTCATGGAGAGGCAGGATGAGGCAATGCCAAGTTAGCATGTCCCTACCTCATAAACTCTTCTCTAACACGCCCACACCCTCGTTTACTCTTAATCTGCTGAAAAGTGCTGTGAGTAACTGCTGATGTGCAGCGTTAAAAGATCAGCTGCTGCAGGGTGTTGCTGACACACGACGATTAGATAACTCAGACTGCAGCGGCAGAGAATGTCTGTGCTCCCTGCTCCATCCAGCAGATTATCACCGGGTTAAGAAGGTTGACCTCTGGCTGAACTAGCTGTCTGAACTCTCTCTACAGCAGGGGGGGGGCATGTCTTTTGAAAGTAGCTGAATCTACAAGAAGGAAACTAGTCACAGTTTGTGGGTAAACACAAAGAGTGAAAGTGAGGTATACAGAAATTACAAGCCATGCCTTACAATGCACATCATGCACCTCCATGTAATGTGTACTGGTGCTGCTTAAAGAAAGTGATAAATATACTATAAATATTACTTCTTATCTTTAGTCACACACAAGAAGAAAAGTCACAATTGTCAGCGTATTTTAATTACATTCTGTTAACATCTGAGGATGCAGCAGCAAACATGCAATGGTCACACATGTATTATGAGTCAAGAAGGCAAATTAGCTCAAACAGGTCATATAACTTCTAACTGCTTAATGAAAATAAGCAGAACTCCTGTGAGCAGAACTCATTATGCAATAAATCTGTAAGATCGTTTTACCATAGCCAAACAACTGAGGCTCCCATTCCCCTTTTGTGTTCAGATTAGCTTTCTGCTTTAGATCTTTTCCCATCTCAAAGGCAAAGCACCTGCTGTGACATTCCTGCTCCAGGTGTGGCTACAAGTTTCCAACCAGAGAGAACAATGAGAGCAGCAGCTTTCTGCCTCAATGTGGATTCATCATCTGATCCTGGAGCAGCACGGCAGCTGAAGTTTGTGTTGGGAGTCGGTATATTATGTATTACTCTACGCAGTCCTGTGTCTGACTGGCTGTGATGTTCAGCTGCTAACGGTTTATTGTAGGGCTGTGCGATTATGGCAAAAATCATAATCACGATTATTTTTGTCAATAATTGATATCACGATTATTAAAAACGATTATCCATTTACTTTGAAAACATCCATTTATTGAAAAATAAAATTGGAACAGTATGTTTTTAACAGTTGATTACCCTGAACTTAAAGTATAATTCAACTGAAAAACCAATAAAAAAAAATATTAAAAAAAATAATAATTACATTTTTTTTTTTTTTTTAATAAAAATAATAATCGTTTTATTTCGATTACGTTGTTTTCGTAATCGTTGCAAGCCAAAATCGTAATCGAGATTAAAATACGATTAATTGCACAGCCCTAGTTTATTGTCACAGGATCTGGAATCATTCTTCAGTTATGTGCAGATCTGTGCACAACAGGGAGTTAGTGTGGTTTTCTCAAAAGCAGAAGTTTAGGACGTCAGAAGGGAACTGATGTATGGATCATGGTAATAGTGCTCTTTAAAAATACACATAAAAAAATATATATATAACTTTGTAGGTGTTTCTAAAGTAAGCTTATAAAAGCACAATCCTACCTGGTAGGCAGCGGAGACCGAGCACATCTCGACTCCTTGCGCTCACCCCACTCTGACTCAGCATCCTCTCCTGTTGGGAAAACAGAACAGACATTAGCATTGCTTAATCATAATTGGCTTATTCATCCTTTATTTTACACATCACTGTCTGTCCTTTATTTTATTTTATAACTATTTTTCTTTTTGTATTGCTCTTGCTCTTATTGTTATTATGTTATTATGTTGCATTGTTGGAGAAGCCTGTGACATAAGATTTTCAACTACATAATTACTCTGTAGCTATGTCAGATTGACAATAAAGAACCTTGAACCTTGTAACTGACAGTCTGTCTGTAACCGCGATATAGGAGAACTTTGGAAGAGAAAATATGTCTTAATGTAAAGCTGTAGCCTTAAATATAAGAGGCAAAATAGAAGTGGCAAAGATCTTCTCATCTGAAGAAACCAAAAGGGCATGTGCCAAAGTTGAAATGTTCAAAAGTGAGTGAAATGGCATACAGTATATTGGAAAAGTGTATTTAAATAAAGCACGTAACAACAACAATAATAACATTGTGTTCACCACAACTCACAAGAACACCCAGAACGACTAAGAAAACAGTTTTCTTTTTCAAATGGAACCATATTTGCAGACTGTTTCTTTAAAAGTGAAGAAATAGACTATAAAGAACTCACTTAACACAAGGACAGAGCCTTGCCCCCTTTGGTGTTGTTGATTAAATAGAAGTGGTGTCTGCTTCTCTGAATGCTTGTCTTGATGGACTCATTTTCAAAGCCAACCCCACAATGCTCCATGATGCTGAGTTTCCATCTTGTTGTTTGTTCCTGCTTTCTCTATAGTAGTCATGAAGTCTCACGTACTCTGGTGTGTTTTAAAAGCAAGACTCCAACCCCACTTAGCCACAGAGGTTTCTATAATCAGGCTGTGAACTTACTAGCACATATGCTTCCACTTAACTTTGCTACTAACCCCCCCCCCCCCCCTTGTGAAGGCTGTTTACATTAATCGGCCCATAACATGCCATGGCCTGCAATGTGAGAGAACGGCACAGAAATAGAGTTAAAGGGCTGGGTTGACATTAAGGAAAGCTATACATTGTAGAGCCTATAGTTTCTTTCACAATGAAACTATGAATCTGTGTTTTATTAGCAGCACCAGCCATATCACAAAGCACCGGTATGTATCGGAGTCAGCAAGGATGTGTGAACAATAACAATGAGTCGCCAGTGCTCTGCTAACAGTTCTGCAGTGCGGTGGATTCTGTGTGAGCAGCCGGCTCGTGAAAACCTGAGACTCTAAGCTTGTGGGCCCCCATAAAAAACATTTCACAAAGAGGACCTTTGCTCCTTGAAAAGGTAGTCAAATCACACGTATTCATAGCTGGTTGTTTTCTTTGTATGTGAGGGCGTCTGGCTGTGACTTTAACAAACACCCCCAAGAGTCGCCAGTTTGCAACTAATCATATCTGGATGTTATCTTGAAGTCTTAGGTTCATAGTTTTTGATATGATTGCATATGTATGAAGCAAATTCATTAGTAAAAGACTTTAAGTGTATACAAAGAGAGAAAATAAAAGTCATACTAATTTGCTGATTATTCAACTATAAGGCAATGTGAGCCATTATAAAAACAAAGAATGATTTTAATCAATTCACATATGAGCTCTAATTAATGTCATACGGGAAGGTTTGCTCTGTTTCTATGCCGTTCCTTTTGCACACTGCCAACTCCAACATCTGTAATGCAACAAGTTTGAGCCAATAGCATGGTTTTCTTCCTGACACATATTTAAATATTGTTATAGTTCTACCAATTTTACTGACCAAATTCAAAGACTGAATGCAAAACCGCCGGAGAAAAACACAACAGTAACGTTTTACAAGAGTTAGCTTCTGCTTGCCAAAGCATTGTTCATTTTCTTTTTCATCTGGTTTTAACATTTTATTATGCTTTCTTTCAGTCTCTGCATCAACACCCACAGCTGCTTTCTTTCATCCCCTTTGAAGAACATCAGAGGCAATTCAGATCTGTTTTTGTTCTAGTGTCTTAGATATGTCCTCTGAAGGTTGTGAAGCCTGACAAACTCAGGCCTCAGGGTCTTGTAAGGCAAGTGAACACACTACACAACATCGCACTACACAAGGTGAGATACTGCTGGCACCTTACTGCAGACTGCGTACATCATGTGATAACGGCTGATATGAGTGGAGCTCCCAAAATGTGATTTGTAGACACAAGTCATGTGACAGAAATATATACAGCAAATGCCCATTGGAAAAGTCAAGGCATTTATCCGTCACTTGCTAAATGTGCACGGCAGGGTGAAACAGAGATCAGGAAAATGGGAATGAGATAATGTCCAAGCAGAAACATGCCGTGCATAAGTAAGGCTGCCTGTCACACATTATTTAAAAACCACATTTCCAGGGCAGTGTTTAGCTGACATAACACTTTTGCTTTAATTGTGTGGCTTCAGCGTCCCCAATGTATTACTTTCATTGCCTCTCTTCCCCCCCCCATGCTGCCGTGCTGCCCCACTTTTGCCCTCCTCTGCTCCCTCCTTTCATCCTCAGGGAGGGGGGGCCAAGGCGTATTGCAGTTTCCATTGCTCATGGCTTTCCTTTGCTACTGCGCCCAGACTTCTGCAGTAAGTTTGCTTGTCTGGAACATTCTTCCTTTTATCTTGAACAACAACAAGCCAACGTCACAAGGAAGTTGGCATGGGAATTCAAGAGGGACAATAATAGGCACATAATAATCACTTGAAATCTATTTTAAGTGGTAGGACAACCGCTAATAAGTTAAGTTAATGAGAGTTATTTCACTACGCAAACTCTTGTGACACATAGGTTCAAGGTTCAAGGTTCTTTATTGTCAAACATACCTTGCTCAGTTGCATTTTAACAGTCTGAACAATATCATTTTAAACAAACAAGCAAACTGAATTATGGATACTTTTTGAAGTGCCGTTCCAAAACACGCGGTTGTGTTGTTAAGAGTGTCTTTCGGCTCCTACAGACATATGCTCTGCTTTGGGGCTTGTAAAATTCACATTAGCTTTACTGTTTACTGTACTGTGCTTTTATTCTCCAACATGAATGGGGACAGTCATATGATATTGTGAGCTAGCTCAGAAGTACAAAGAGGATATGAGGTAGTCTTTTCTAAATGGGGCACACTTTGAATTGTTTCCTCTTATTCCAGAAAGAATAACATGAGATGTTTTTGTCCAACGATATAAAGTGGATTGAGAAGTTTCATCATTTTCGAAGTCCTTATCTTTTCTTTAGAAGCAAACCTGCAAGGGATGTACTGTTTTTAAATTGCTATGATAGAAACAGAGGACCTGGCATTAGCTTTATTCTTGCACTGAAACTAAAACCCCAAGGGCAGAGCTAAAGGACTAAATAACTGCCTTGAAAATAATCAGCAGCGAACAGTGGAACAAGAATCTGTGGACATATACTAACTGTAGTGTATTATCAATCTAATATATAATTAGCTAATCTAGAAACGGCATTACAGCAAAAGCTACGTTTTGGCCTGAATGTGAAAAACACACAGTAAAGTAGCAGTAGTAGTAGTATAACTGATTCTGACATATAGGGGGAAATATCAATAAATTATTCATGAATTGAGAGTTCATACAGTTAATATTTAATGAGATAATTTCTGCATCACACCATATAAACCCAGCTTTTAACCCATTTCTCTGCTAAAGCCTTCCTCAATTAGCACAGCTCTTGAAGCATTCTTTTTTCTGAAACCTTGAATGAAAGGGGATATTAGGGGGCAGTGTCTTCATCCTTAATTATAACACCAGTACAGTAGATACTCAACAAGCAGATCATTACTGGTTCTTTTAACCATTATTTACTAAATGATTGTCTCATTACATATTTGACTCTTAATTATCTCCTCCTCCCCTTGCTGTACAGTGACGGCAGAGAATTACATATTTGTGTAGTTGTTGTAATGTCAGAGGGTTCAAAGGTCTTCTAAGGCCAAATAAACCAGGATAGTAGGTCAACAGTCATGCTAAAAGCTAGGTGAGGCTGTATTTACTCAAAGCATTGCTTGGAGCTATATGCTAACATCTGCATGCTATCATGCTAACTGATGTTTAGCAGGTATACTATTGATCATGGTCACCATCACATCTTGCATTTAGGCGCACTATGTTTTCTAAATAAACCGATTATAAAGTACAGCCACAGTTGTCCAGACGTTTTACAAAAGAAAATGTAATGTTAAAGGGCCCATGTCATGCTTTTCCGGTTATTACCCGTCCCCTTGTGTGTTATGAAGGTTTTTATGCATGTAAACGGTCTGCAGAGTCAAAAACCCTCAAAGTACACTCTGTAGCGAGTAAACCTCTAACACAGAAAAGACCTGTCTATGCTGCCCCAAAACGCCTCGTTGGAGATTTCTCATTTTCCATTGTTTTCTTCCTGGGTTCTGTGACGTGTGAATACCCAAATCAACAACAAATGACCGTGGATTGGTCCAAATTTGGACCAATCCACGGAGCACCTCACACACCAGGATCCCTTGGCTAACTAACAGGGAGTCCCCATTGACTTGCATAGAGCTCCCTGAACGCTGGTAATAGACGAGTTGGGATCGCGGAGAAATGCTCTCCGCAGACCCATTCTCACAGCGTTATAAACCTTTTTCTTACTCAATATCAAGCCACACTTATTGTTTTTACTTCGGCTGTGAGTGTTTGTGTGTGCTCAGGATGAGTTTCGCTTGTTCTCGCTGTATCGCCGACACGGAAACCTGTCCTTCTCCTCGCAGCAGCGGCGAGCAGCAACGAGCCTCGCAACGAGCCTCGCAACGAGCCTCGCAACGAGCCTCGCAACGAGCCTCGCAACGTCCCGACCAATCAGAGCACACTGGGCTCACACAAACAAGCCGTTTAGAACAGAGAGTGAATACCTGGTGAATACACATACTATACAGAGATGCTGTATGAGAAACCAATGTGAGTGTGGATCACATTTGAATCTATTCTAGTAGACCTCAACAATGGAAATATGATCAGTAGAAATGGCCATGACATGGGACCTTCAACCTCATTGTGGCCCTAGGTGAAAAGTCAGTGGATCACCAAAGTTATTTCGGTTTATTGGGACCAAATTTCAAAGCAATCAATCCAAAAGTGACAGATTTACTGACAAGCCTTCATGGCTATCATCCTGGTGTATAAGGAATGGGAGTATTACAAATCATCAAGTATACTAAAAAGGTACCAAAGCAGCATAAGGACCTGTTTCAATTAGCCAGCATTCACAAATCACCTCCTGTTGGATATTTCATCAATCAGTATACCGGGCGTCATTGGAGCCCTGACATATCAGTGTCTGGGCTTCTTGTTTTAAAGGACTCTGGGGTTGCGTAGTCAGACAGACCGTTCTGTGAACAAATCATATTATGTCTACAACATGCAGCGATTCTCCACAGATACATTTCTTCCTCTCTGAAGCACACTCTCTAAGCCTCTTACATTGTCACTAACAGTACATCATTGCCGATGCCAGAGTCAGCTAAACAGCTTAAGTGAACATATAATGCTTGATATTGCATTCTCAGTGCCTCATAATCATAAGTCTCTTGTATGAAATGTGGTTTGAAGTCACCTCTACTCTGACAGCTAAGGTCCCACGGGTGAGATGATCAGAACCGTTATATACACTCAAAACAGACAAAGGACCTAGCCTCTCAGCCCCTTCACTAGTGAATAGAGCCTCTGGTTAATTATCCCCCAATGCCAGATCGATACACCTCTAACGGGAACATAAATCTGCTCTGCCATTAAGAAGAGCCCATTGTTGTGCTCTGTTTAAACAGTGGAAGCCTCTGCAGCTCGGGGGCTGGCAGTGAATGTGAGGTCTGGGTCCTGTGGGAGCGGGCGTGGGTGACTGTTCTGCTTCGGCCTGCTCCTATCAGGCTTGGATCTTCAGCCACTCTGCAGAGCTCAGATGATCCCTCCTCTGGCATTTTTGCTTCTGTGGAGCTTTGTGCTGCACGCCTTTCATGCTGACTGCTTCAAAGCTGGCTGTGAGATGTAGATAGAGGGAACTCAAGGGGATGGGCACAGCCAAAATAAGCATGAATAAGCCCAGTAAACTGGCAAGATGCAGGAATGAGCATCCTTACAGTATGTAGCATGCATGTACTGATGATGTTTTTTCATTCATTTTTAAAGCTAAAATGCAAAAACATTTCCTAATTCAAGCTTCAAAATCGTGACATTTGGCTGATTCTCTTTGTCAAACGACATTCTCTTTGTCAAACGACATTCTCTTTGTCAAACGACATTTCTTAGGCTCAAACCAAGCATGTTGCAGATGTCTCCTTCAGCTTTAGGAAATTGCAATTGGCATTTGTTTGCATAACAAATAATTGAATAATCAAGAAAGGCATCCGCAAATGTAACGGTGTTCAAAAAAGGATCATTAATTGCAGCATGATCATCATTGATGGCATCCAAAATGACTTGGATATTAAACCATGATAAAGGAAGAGCAGATGAGTAATTGCAAACTGCAAAAAGCCATCTGGTCCAAATTCAGCCCAGGATTGGATTTGGTTTTCTAAAGCAGTCTCAGCACATGCTCCTGGAAGTGAAACCCACAAGAGTGTGTGGGTGGCCTGTGCATATAATCCACACAGCCTACTACTCTGCATTACCATATCTTATGCTCAGCCACATTCTCATACTTGGACACATGGGATTCCATCAGTGGGGCAATGTGATGATGTCTGTGTCTCTTTTGGAGGTAATCAAATTCAAAACTCCTCTACCTCCTTACTGCCGTCTCCATGACGACAGCCAGATGTTTCACAGTGCTCACCCCCCACTCCACATGCAAGCCTCGCCCCAGGGCAGAGAACAGAGGCATCTGTTACCGATTCCCCCTGCGGCTGCTGGAAATAACCAGCGAGACACAAAAAGCCAGGCAGCACAAAGAGCCAAGAGACTGTTCCCAAAGGAGTGAGAAACTCTGAACACTTCCATACTGTGTGTGCACATTTATCTGTGTTGTCTATCAAACTGATGAGCCCCTTCTAACCTCTATCCTCTCAGGTGCTCCAAAACTGGGTCAGTATCTTACTGATCATTCAAAATGCAAGGACTCATCTTCTGCATTTCATTATAGCACCATGTGACCTTTCAAAGCCTTCCAAGGCAATTAAAGCAGCTGAGACAGGCTACAACTGTTCAGTGCACAGGGAAGATGATTGTCTGCACCATTTGTCTGGTGTAAGACAACTTAATCCCATATGAGGAAAACCCCCTGCCACGAGAAGTGATTAAGATTCACCACCCCTTCACTGGCCTTTAATAAGGCATGAAGCCAAAGCCTGCGACATCATGTCCTCTTACAGTTACTATGCATCTCCAGAAAGAAGGAAACAGCAGCCCTATGCAGACTCTAAAACAGGACTGCAGGTTTTATACAGCCAGGCAGCAGACTACCTGAATGTACATGTATAGCTCTGCAAGATGAATGATGGCCGGTGTTTCCTACTTCCTGTCCTCTGGTGTATGATCATCGCATGACTAGTGGTGATAAGTTATAGTACTGAGAAAGCAAAATTGAGTGTTGTGAAATAAATGTATCAAATATAAACTGGAAAATCATAATCAAACTGAAAATGAAATTGGATTTCTCTTCATATTAGAGCTTTTACTAAAGTGGCAAGTCCCAAAAGAGAATATTAAAACATTATGTGCAAAAATGATGGGTTCAAAGGCTCTTCAACTGAATCCAAACCAGACATTTTCATGAACAAAAACTTAAAATTGACATCTGCTTTGAATCAGACAAAAGAAAAAGCAGGACAGGGATTCCCAAATATACCTCAGCGTATGTGACAGTATATTGTAAGTATGTGTTATGCTAGTGCTGTTAAAAGTCAGTTATTTCACTAAACGTTGCCTTACCTTGATATCTGGGAGCATTTGCCTCACTTTGAAGGTGGTTTTGGATCCTGTCAACATTATTAAGGCAGATCAACTCGACTTAATAATAAGAAAAAATACGAGCGAAATAAAACCGACTGAAGTAAAAAACAAAATGAAAACAGCTGAGTGATATCTGAAGCTAAGGTGTTAGTTAGTGTTCTGCTCCTTCCATGTTTAGCCCAGAGAAGCGGTCAGAAGGAGAAGAAAGGGTCCGGAGTCCAGTAACGCTTAGCCTGTATCATCGGCTGCTAAAACCGAGGTGCTCAGTGTGGAGAGGCAAACTATTTTCGCTCTTTTCATTTCTATTCGCACTGACAGCATCCGTGTCCCGAGAGCACACCCTGCAGAAAACCCTCCACCAGTCACCGGACTGGTGTTAGTCACTAAAGGGCAGATGTGTTCACCGTTACTGCCGCTTTCCTACCCATTGGGCTCTGTTTGTTTATCCATTCGCCATAGTGAAACACTGAGCTGGAAGAAAAAAAGCCAAGTGCAGCGGTGGAGCTTCTTAAAGGGCCAGTACGCCAGGGAGACGAAAATAAAGTATGATCTGGAGCCAAAACTGTGGAGGCCAATTTCGGACGAGAAAAACATTCTGTAAATCATTATTAATCCCAGAAACTAACAGAAAATTAGTTATTATCTTGAAAGTATTTATTTTTAGAATGTTATAACACATCGGTTGTAAAATAACACCAATGTACAATAATGTTACAACAAAATAAGTCTATGACACCACTGTTGTACAACAACACATGTTGTGTGCAATATGTTCTGCTATTCTTTTAGTTTATGACTACTACTGGCTGCTACTCCTAGTTAGTCCACCCATTACTGTAACAGGAATCTTTACGTAACTATGTGCAATGATAATTGTACTAATGTTACATGCCAAACTTGCTACACTTAATTTATTTTATAAATACTGCTGGAACACTAGGGTCCTTCTATGTCTTGTATACCTTCTTAATATGTAAACTAACGTTTGACTAAATAAATAAAGAGAAGTGAAAAGAGCAATATTTCTCTCTTGTGAAGTAGATGTATAATTTAGGAATTCAATGTACTTTCTTGGGACCATTGCCTTTATAGAGCTCTACAGGTATTCCATTTTTACAATTAGTATTTCAACTTAGACTCCCTAAACTGTCCAAGCTTGTGTCCCTAATTTGTGCTTTGTTTTACCATTGCTTCTCATATATGTCTTTTGTTTACACGCGTGACAACAATGTCAAGTAGTTCTCATATCAATTATACTTTGTTATCTAATGTGAAAATTCAAGAGAACACATTTTTTTATTAATCACTCTTGAACTTCTAAGCTTGCAAAAAACTTGTAAAAGTATCCTGTACTGTATATTTACCTAAAGCCTCTTTTTCTCCAGTAGTACCTTGTTCTTGTAGCTGATCCGTGTAGGGACGGGATCCTTCCCTCTCTCATCCAAAACTGTGGAAAAATACACCAAATACTATTCCAGACAAATACAGGGGGCCAATTCAGAAGAAATTACTTTCCAGAGAGAACAGGAAAAATGTAATAATCCTGCGAAACAGTCTGCCCTTCTGAACAGGTGGAGAGACGGGTGTCTTTGTGAACTATAATAGAGAGATGTCTGGATTTTTTACCACATGGGAAACTGTTCAATATTACATAAGGGTCTCCTATTTCTCTAATACATAAAACAGTCCCAGACACAGGACCTTGCATCATCTGAGCTGGAGTTATTCGACAATGTATAATGTAACAAGGCTAGTTTCATACAGCATGACACAGACAACGATAAATACTCAGTAACACCTGTACGTTTTAACAATAAAATAAATGTCTGATCTCTGTTGGTTTCTATTCTGTTGTCTCTGGAGCCCCTGTATCTCTGGTGAAAACTATTTAACAGTAACCCTTGAGTTTTCTGGTATTATTGTCTAGTAAGACGAGAGTCTCACACCACTACCCACACATCTTAAACAATCTTGCTTAAATAATTGGTTTTAGACATAAATCAATGTAAAATGTGACTTCTTCAAATCGCTTGTTTTGTCTGACAAACACTCCAACATACAGACATTCAGTTTCCTATCAGATAACACAAAACAATGCAGCAAATCCTCACAATTGAGAGCCTGAAATGCTTGCCTAAATATTTAATTGATTTATTAGTCAACTATCAATTTATATTGTAGATAAATGTTGATTGGTCATATGACATATGGTTCAGTCTCTAATTCCAAGATGTTTTAGCCTAGTGCTAAGACTTTATGTATAACAAACGGTTTCATAATTTTGTTTCCTCTTTATATCATTACCACTTACAGTACCAATCATATTTTATGTTAGAATGTAATCCCATATAAAGTTAGTTTTTATAATTTACGAAGAAAAGAGCGGAGGCAAAGCATTTTTGAAATACAATGAGAATTTATTCAAACGGTGCAAAAAAAATGAATAATTAAAATAATAATAATAACCTAACATAAAATCTGATGTTCTTTCTATCCAGATTGCACTGTCACACAGCCTTAGGGCTCTCCTCTTAAAAAAACGAAAAAACATCAAAACAATAAAAAATAAAAACAGATCAAAATACCAGGACAAATGAAAGTTAAAATAATGCACAAATTTGGTAAAATGGATTGCCATTTACATGCAACAGTTCCAGTCCCATGCAACTCGAAGTATTCCATGTTAATGTCACTGATGATGGATATTCTGTTCACACAGAAAATACAGTGTTGTACAATATATAAAAATATATCCGGTCAGTTGTGTTGCAAAACTAATTCTGAGCCATTTCTCTTCTGGTTGGGAGCAAACGAGCCGGGTCAACAAGAACGCTGCAGTCATGTTTTAGCATAGCACGAATTGGTGGCTGTAGAAAAAAAGTAAACAAATGTACAAATCAAAAAAGCAACAAACAAATAAAAGCCAGACTGCTAGACAATTAGCCACGTGAGAAAGAACATCCTAAAGTGTCGCAACTAAACATTCCACAAGGAAACCTATAAAAAAATCTCACTATAAATATATATTCTCAAATGGTGTTTTGTTAGGTCTGCATTGAGGAAATTAGTTTGCAATGAAAAAGCCTCGATAAATCAAGAGGCTCTTCTGTAAGTCGCCTTCGACAGCCAAAATGTCACCAAATTCAGGCTCTAACAAGCTTATCATCCATACCTGTTTCAGTATCCAACAATATACATTCTTACCCTTTTAAAAACACTGTAAAACTTTGGGCTTACAAAAATAACTTGGAACATATTTATACAACCTCTCATTGTTTTTCTTAAATACAAAAAAGTGTTTGCAGCCTGTAGAGTCTGATGTCTTAAATGTTTCTGAGGCATCTGTTTCATTGCAAAAAATAAAAATGGTTTTGTAAGCTCATTATTACTTTGGAGGGAGGGAAAGAGAGTATGCACACTGAGACATTTTTAAAAACAGGCATCACCTGAACACTTGATGGGTCTGAATTAAAAATGCTAGTGCACGGACACATGTCAACACACATAAACACAGCAAATGCACATGTTTTTTTGGGGAATAGCATTTTTTAAGTGTTTTATTGTCATGAAAACTCTAGTGTTTCTTTTAATGCACAGCAAAAAAACTCCCTTCTTCTTTGAACAGTTTTAGCAACATAGAACAAATTGTAATATAGTGTTACATAGTGTTAAATGAACACTACTGAAAATGTTTTCTAGTATTTTGGTTATGTTTGTTTATAGTTTAGGTAGCTAGAGTAAGCTACAAAACACTAAGTAAAGAGGAAAACAAAACAAGAGTGCCCTCAGCTGGGCAAGGCAGTGAATTGCATACTAAATTGTGCTTTTCTAGACTTGATGCCAAAGAACAGATTCAATCACGAGTCACACTGCCTGAAAAGAAAGTCCTCACCATGGCTTTTATAGGGGAATAATCACAAGAATTAAAGTAGTCATTTTGACATTATTACAACTAAAACAGCCTTCAATGTGTAAGTAATAAGGAAGACAAAACATCAGCCGGTATCAACTAGTTGATATGCCTAACTGAAAAAGATAATGGCATTATCTCAAAAGCTAGAACACGTTCAAAAAATAATAATTTTTTTTTTTTTTGTGGGCAGTAGTAGTAAAGACTGCAGGCAAAAAGCAAGCAGTGGATACTCGATGTTTGTGTTGCACAACGTACAAACAGGATCGATGCCACGAGGACAAATGCTGAAAAAGGCAACTAGGAAACTGAGTTAGAAGGTGACGCTGGCACCAAAATGCTGTAGCTCAATAGTAACTGAATCCGTCAGAGAAACCCTCCTGGCCTGCGCCCCTGAATCCCCGTGAACAGAGGTGGCAGTGTCTGCAGAGATGGACAAAAGGTCAAACAGTCGGGCCACTTCAAAAACAGTAAAAAGTTTTGTATCTATGGACATCAGGAAAGTGCTTGAATTTGTGCAAAAAGACAATACGCGACTGGATTTGGCGGGACGAATGCCAGAAATTAAGAAACTGCCTTCAGTAGAACGTCAGAATTTGCAGTGCGGTGACCAAACCAATCAGCGTTAAGATGTCCTATTAGAACGGACAGCATGAATGTATGACCTTTTGTGTGATCAGGAAATAGGATGAAACGTGTTTCACATTTCTCAAACACCAGAGCACTGGCATTTCAAAAGCTGAAATGCCAGTGCTCATAACTTATTACCATAATTTGTCAATACAATGTGCATGTTATTGGGTATCAACATCCAACAATAGTACATGAGTACCTTTGCGTCATGCAAACAGAAACCAGAGACAATTGTCACAACTGCAGAAATGTTCACCGCTTCGGAGCAAGGTTATGTCACTTGCTTAAGAAGTAAGGTTCATTTGCTTGAAATCCAAAAATGTGTTTCATTTAAATATTTTAACTTTTTAACGGCAGGGCTGGGCAATATAAAGAAAATATAATTTCACAAGATTAATTTTCTGTATTATCTCCTTCTCAGGGGTTGACTGTGCTTGATATCGATATAATATCCATATACTCCCCAGCCCCATTGGCGGCATGTGACGGTTATCTTCAAAACTATTGTGCTGAATGTGACATTTTGACTTTTGTAGTGTTTTTGTAGACTTTTTGTGTGTGTATTATTGCATGCCTGTGCTGGCAACAATAAGCAAATACCTCAACGGCAACTATTGTCACAGAATGAGGAAGACCCAACGCAGAAAGAGAAACATTGTAACAAACGTATGAAATACTCTGGATCAGGCTCTGGGAACAGTATCTTACCGTACTGCTATGTTGATGTTGTCTACCTTCAACCATGCCTAGTTAATATTGTAACCAATTGCATCGAACCTTCAATCAGTTAATAATCTAATTTAAAGTTATATGTATAGTGTTTTGCCAAAAGGTTGACAGTGGGAGAGCAAGTGTATTTAATGCATGGACATTCCTGTGTTTGCATTCTGAAACATTAGCACCACAGCAGCCCACAGAGC